ACTATAGACTATATTTGCAAATGGGGTCCTTACAGTCCCGGCTCAGCCCCAAGCCCTAAACCGCAACACCGGGTTTACCTGGAACTCTCTTTACCTACACTTTAATGGGTTAGGGACGGTTAGGGTTTAGGGTTTAGGGTTTAGAGTTTAGGGTTTAGGGTTTAGGGTTCAGGGTTTAGGGTTTAGGGTTTCGGGTTAGTGTAGGGAGTTTAATGAGTTATACCTACTAATGAAGGGTCAGTTAGTACTAAACTGTCGGTACATAGAGTCTTAGGTAGTGCTTGTTTCCTTGGCTACCTGACGCCCCAAGCGCCCAAGCTTGTTTGTTTCGGTTTAGGGCGGAGATGAATGCAACTATGAGGTGTGGTTGGGGTTTACGGTTTGGGTTTGGGAGTTAGGGTTGAGGGTTTATGGGTTCTGCTGATTTCTGAGATGCCCGGTATATATACATATATATAGATATATGTACTAGGACCCAGAGAAAGCCCTTATTCCCTTTGTTTAGGGTCTAGGTTCCCTTATGTAGCCAGCCCCTATAAACCACAACAGGGCACCTTGTTTATTCCTAGGCTACTCTTGGGTCTAGTATGTATACACTTGGATTCAGAGGAACGACTCCTTGGTTCGAAAGCCCGCGCCTCTGTGTAGCTCATCAGGTATGTTTCGTAGATTCTAGGCCCTATCCTCAATCGCTTATTAGGTACATTCCCTGCCTGAGTTCGGGTTCAGCTGTAGGGTTTGGAGTCCAAAGTTTCAGGGTATACAAGTGAGGGTTCAGGGTTCAGGGTTTGGGCTTCATTCAAGGTTTAGGGTTTACGGTTTACGGTTTGGGGTTTATGACTAGGATGTAAGTTCTCATAGTGGAGTGAAACCCTAAACCCTAAACCCTAAACCCTAAAGTGCGGTCTCGATCCCCGGCCCACTGCACCGCCCTCAGGGGCTGCCCTGGCGTTTGCCGTGACGAAGACGGACCGGCTTTCTCTGTCTAGGGTTTAGGGTTTGGGGTTTAGGGTTTAGGGTTTAGGTTTTAGGCGGTTTCGTGGTAGCCCAGGGGTACCCTTTTCCCTTTTTATGGTTCAAGTGAAGTAACCAATCAAAACAAGGGTTGCCCTTATCACAATATGCTTGCTGGCTACCACGTGGGGCAGAGTTTTAGGGCTTTAAATTCGGCGTTTTAAGCTTAGAGCGGAAAATGCAGGGTTTCATGTTCACTGTTTTCAACTTCGGGTTAAAACTTCGTGTTTTTTTTCAAAATCTTAGGTGGCCGTAGGGCTGTTGTCGAAGGAATGCGGAATGCGCATCCATTGCTTTCTTGCATGGTTTAATATTTGCAGAACACCCAAAGAATAGAAGACACGTTCCGCCCTAAACCCCAAACCCTAAACCCTGAATACCCTAAACCCTAAACCCCAAACCCTAAACCCCAAAGACCCTAAACCCTAAGCCCTAAGCCCTAAACCCTAAACCCTAAACCCGAAACCCTACCTGTATGTACAGCTCAGGGTGCTGGCCCAGTAATGTAGATGCAAGGTGCTTCAGGTCTCTGAGCCGGCGTCACTTCAGTAGGGTTCAGGGTTTAGGGTTTAGGGTTTAGGGTTTGGGGTGTTCCAAAGTGCCGCGGTCCCGACCCGCGCCAGGGAGTGGTGGCGGGTCGGGCCGCCTCGGTGCAGCGGATCCCACCCCAACCACCCAAACTACCGCCTTTTTCGGGTTTAGAGCGGTCTACCCCCCGCCCCCCTATCAAGGGGGCTTTCACCTCCTCTCTCCTCGATGGCCGGGATGGGACGTACTGCTGCTGTTGCTTGAGCCTACACGTTTAAGACACTTTGAAGGCCATAGCTAAGCCCCGTGTCGGTTTTTCCAACCCGAGCCATGTTGGTCGCAGGACTCCGGAATAACCCGGATGAGATGGAGGGAATGCGGCGGGGGCAGCCCTGGCAGGCGCAACCCTGGCGTGCAACCCCGGCGAGGGCAACATTGCCGGCACCCTGGCGGAATAATAGAGTACTTTGGCAGGGAGCTTGTGGTTCCTTCATAGAGAAGGACGACGAAGCCTTGCAAGCGCGCAGGGAGGACCAGGTTGTCTTGGGAGGGCCGTCACTGAGAAGGTGCACAAGTAGGCGACATGGTGCCGGGGTTGGTGGCGGGGCAACCCTGAAGGGGGAGGGGGCGGGGGAAACCCTGGCAGGGACAACCCTCACAAGGGCAACCCTGGCGGGGCAGACCTGGTGGGCAACCCTGGCGGGGGCAAACCTGTCACCCTAGCGAGGGCAACCCTGCCAAAAGCGAAGCTGGAAAGTTGGAAAGGAATTTTGGGCGCAACTGGTATAGGGCAACCACCCTGGCGGGGGGCAACCCTGGCGGGGGCAACCCTGGCGGGGGCAACCCTGGCGGGGGCAACCCTGACGGCGGCAACCCTGCTGGGGCAAATCTGGCGGGGGCAACTTGGTGGGGTTTCGGGTTTAGCGGTCTACCCCCCACCCCCTATCAAGGGGGCTTTCACCTCCACTCTCCCCGATGGCCGGGATGGGACGTACTGCTGCTGTTGCTTGAGCCTACACTGTCCTGGATCCAAACTACTGTGTTTAAGACACCCTCAAGGCCATAGCTAAGCCCCGTGTCGGTTTTTCCAACCCGAGCCATGTTGGTCGCAGGACTCCGGAATAACCCGGATGAGATGGAGGGAATGCGGCGGGGCTCCTCTAGGTGTGCATTGAGAGTGGCCAACCCTGGCGGGGCAACTTTGGTGGGGGCAACTCGAAGGAGCAACCCTGGCAGGCAACCATGGCGGGGGCCTGGCGGGGGGCAACCCTGGCTTGCGGGGGCAAATCTGGCGGGGGCACTGGCACAACCCTGACGGGCCCTGCGAATGGCAGGGCCAATCGGGGCAAGCTGGCGGAAGCAAGCTTGGCGTTGGGGGGGGGGGGCAGCCTGCATCAGTGCCCAGGAAGGAGGAATTTGTTCTCCCTATATGAGGGGGTTCCAGGGCTCAGACCTGCGCAGGAGGAATTTGTTCAAGGTTCCAGAGCTCAGAGGAGGAATTCGTTCTACCTGTATGAAGGGGTCCGGAGCTCAAACCTGCCCAGAATTTGCTACCAAAAAGAAGGGGTCCGGAGCACAGACCTGCCTAGGAGGAATTTGTTCTACTTGTATGAAGGGCTTCCAGAGCTCACCTGTTCAGGAGGAGTTTGTTCTACCTATATGAAGGGGTTTGGAGCTCAGACCTGCCCAGGAGGAATTGGCTCTACCTATGTGAAGGGGTTCCAGACCTCCGACCTGCCCAGGAGGAATTTGTTCTATACCTATATGAAGGGGGTCCAGAGCTCAGCGCTTGGCCCGAATGGGGGGGCGGCCCTCGGACAAAAGGATCAGCCCGAAAGTGCTCGATTCCCAGCGCAAGGCCCCAAAGCGCTCGCCCCCCGGTGATTTTAGCGGGAATTCATATGGCAGCACGGACCCCCCCATTGTTGCAGATTTCAGGCTCGGCCGCCCCTGCCGGCAAGCGCTTCGGTCCGTCCTTAGCCAGGGATCTACGAGCGTACATCGCTGAGGATCTTCGAAGAGGCTTTTGTTATATTGGAAGAGCACCTGTTGATACATAAGTAAGCTCTACCTCCAGGTTCCCAGCGCAGAAGAGCCAGAAGCCGACGCTTGCAGGAACCCCTGGGTCGAAGAGCGCCCTGCACGCACATCTCGGCGTCTGGTGACGCGCGTGGATGGGCGAGGGAGTGGACTTCGAGACTCTGGCTCGGCAAGGCCGGGGGGCGGCACAGCCGCACTCGTCGAGGCCGCGGCCTTTTCGATTGTGTCGTTTCATAGATCACTTTTCTCAAGCATCTCGCCTGTCAAGGCCGGAGGGCGGCGCGGCCGCACTCGTCGAGGCCGGGGCCTGTCTTTTTCTCCAGTTCACCGTATTTCTCGCTTCTGAAGCATCTCGCCTGTCAAGGCCGGAGGGCGGCGCGGCCGCACTCGTCGAGGCCGGGGCCTGTCTTTTTCTCCAGTTCACCGTATTTTCTCGCTTGGAAGGGCCATGAAGGGCCGGGGAGCGGCAAGCATCTTGCCTGACCAGGCCGGGGGGCGGCGTGGTCGCACCCGTCCAGGCCGGGGCTTGTTGCGCAGGGGTATCCCCGGGCAAGGATTTCGGCAATTGCAGCAGGAGCTGGGAGATCAGCGTTTCCTGGGGGGGCCAACCTCCTTGCATCTGCAAGAGTCTGGTGTTCTCGTCAAGTCTTGTTGAAGAAGACCTTGGACTTCCAAGCTTTGTGTTTTTTGAAGCATGCGGGCAGTTCCGTTTGTCATGATTCTGTCATGCTGCTTAAAGCGACACTGCGTAGTCCTGCTGCGCCCCTTTTCTTCTGAAAGAACTTGCAAGGTTCGTTTTCTCTTTGGTGTAGTCGGGGCCAGCCAGAGAGATGTTGCCGCGGAAAGTAGGCCCGGAGCATGAGCTGGTTGTGCTGGACTCCTTCTGGGTGGGGCTGCAGGACGAAGCGGCCAGTGAGTCCTCCTTCCTGCGAGGCACCGGCAGCACGTTCGAGAAGGCTGCGTGGCGCAAGGCCTTGGCACAGCTGGCGCCCTCGACGCTGACGCAGTTCCTGAACGGGCGTCCAGCCAAAATGCCGTGGAAGCTGGCCGGACCGCTAAAGCCCTTCGCAAGGCAGGCGCGTGCAACAATGGAAACGGTGCACCCCTCCTTGTTTGGACTGTAAAGATGTGTAAAAGGTTCAAAATAAGTACACTGCACACATCTGCGCGTGAGACGCCCCGCGAGGCTGCCCGCGCTGGAGCGTGCCAAGCTTGTGCAGGAAGTCGGCTTGTACGTCTACCAGGTACTGCCCGCTCCAGAGCGCCAGGCCAGCGACCCCGGCAGTGATGTTGACTGGGATGCCGAGGAGGACACTGTTGATGCCGGGGGCGAGGATGTGAGCGCCACTGTCGCTCCGGACCTGAAGCGGCGGCGGCTAGGCTCCAAGTCGGCGCCTGTGCGCTTCGTGCCCGCGGACATGCAAGCTGTTCTCCCAACAGAACTGGACAGTAGTAGGCTCTCCCGTGAGATAGGAGACATAGCTAGTGTGGACTGGAAATGCGGGAAGCGCAAACCGGAGCAGCTGGTGCCACTGATCATCCAGGGAGTCCGCGCGGACACAGTGCGGCCGACGCTGCAAGCCGTAGTGGGCAAAGAGGATGGCCTGACCTACTACGCCAGCCAGCCTCTGCGGCAGAGCGTCTCCGCCATGCGCCTGCTGACGGCCGCCCAGAATGTGCAAGAGGCCTACAGCAGATTACCACTCTTGCTGTCGCCCAGCACTCCGTGTGTGGTGCCACAATGTGGGTTCCGAGTGGAGATCGTGGAGGACGACTACCCCGGGGAGGACCGAACCCAGGACCCGACCACGGACGGCGCGTCTGATGTGGGCACGGCGGCGGCTGTGCGGCTGGGCCTCATCAAGAGCGAGACTGACATCAACTCGTACTCGCCGACACAGTTCCGTGGCCTTCTCCGCGTCGGGCCATTGTGGCATGTGCTCGTGAAAGGCATGCTGATGATCGACTGCCGCAGAAAAGACGGGCTCCACATCCGGAGGAGCTGCAGCAAACTGCACATGCACTACCTGAGCCCTGTCTCGTCAGAGCACCTCGGGCTCGACCTAACACAGAACACGGAGGCAGCCATGCAGGCCGCGCGGATAAACTGTCAAACCACAGCCGCGCTCGCCATGCGGGCTATGGCCTATAAGACAGAGGCTGCCCGTGTGGTCGCGCTGGGCCTGCTGGACACATTGCCGCTCCGCTGGCCAGACATCATATAGCTGGTGGACCGTTGTCTTTCAATTAGTGAAGAACAGTACCATAACATTAGCCTACAGCGTCTGGAAAAGCAAGAACGTAGGACACGTGTACATGAGCAGAGGGGGTTGAGAGCACGAGTTTATAGTCATGTCCAGCTGCCCAGGCTTCAGACACTGCAAGCTGCCACCGTGCTTCACTTCGCGAGCATGGCATGGGGCATCAAGAACAGCCTTCTCGAAGCTCCAGCAGAAGCCGTGAAGCGTTTGTCTCCGCCAGCCCCCACACGGGGCGACAAACGCCAGGCGGAGATGAACGAGGAACGGCAGTTTGTCAATCGGGTCGGGAAACACGAGGTCACAGTCCGAGCCGCAGCCGATGAAGAAGAGGTGGAGAGCGATCTGGCCCAGCTCACCAAGGAAGTCGAGGAGATGCACCCGTGGGACTTGGCGCGGGGAACCAAGCGGGCAGTTCTCGGAGGCGGTGGCGCATTCAACGGCCTCCTGACGCAGTGCAGACACGACCCTCAGCTCGTCCTGCCCGGAGGCGCATGGGTTCTGACATCGCTGCCCGACATCTGGAAGGGACTTGAGGCAGGCGGCATCTCTGCAAAACCCTAACTAACCCCGCACACACCCTGTGGAACGGCCTAGCTCGAAGGACAAGCAGTGCTATGTCTTCGCGAACGGCGTCAACATCGTGGGTAGGGTTGCCGTGTGGCGCAGCCCGGTCGTGCAACCGGGAGACATCCAGGTATGGGAGGCAAAGGAATGGCCTGCCCACCAACGCGCCCCGCCGAGGAACTGCATCGTCTGCACAGTGCGTGGGCCTGGCGTCACGGCGCTGTCTGGCGGAGATTCGGATGGCGACACAGTCTTCGTGACCTTGAACGCCGACCTGATCGAGTTCCTGGACCACACGGAGCCGGCTGTGGCAGCTTTGGACCTCGAGGGCGCCGCGCAGCCAAAGAAAGAACTCGAGCAGGAAGACAGGATTCGGTTTTCCCTGTGTGAGGATAGGACTCCAGAATATTTGCGGTACATGCTTCGCGTGCCAACGCTCAACGTCCGTGGCCTGGCAACTGCAATGGCAGAAAAATGCCAGCAGGCGGTGTATGAGTCGCCAGGAGATCCGGCCAAGTACCAGTGCATGCTGCGCGTGGGGTTTCTCTGCCAATGCAGCCTACGACTGCCCCAAGAAGTTTTCTGGGCAGTACGTCTTGGCCGCCATTCGCCGCGAGATGCGTGCAGCAGGCATCGCGCAGAGCACCTTCCGTTCCACGTTTGCATTTGCGTGGACTCTGTGCTCACACGGCCTTCCACCCTACCAACGTAAGCCGTGGGAACTGAAGCCAGTACAAGCCCTGCTGAAGGAGGAGATCAACGCGAAGAGCCTGGAGCTTGGCCGGATTTGGTTCCCGGGCGACAAAATCGTTTTGGGAGCACGCGCAGGTCGGTGGATACGGTGCATCTGGTTGAACATGAAGCGCAATGAGGCGCTGGCCTGGCGTCGGGAAGCCCGCACATGCCCCCTGCTGGAGATTGCCTGCCTGTTACACCACGCCCTAGGCCGTGAACAGTGGCGCCAGGAGCTTCTTTCAGAAGAGCACATTGCCTCCCTGCAGCTCGCTATGCAGAATTTGCACTCCGGCCGGGCCATCAGCACGCTCCGCGGGCTCCTGGACAGCACCCTGTTCTGAGACATGCCTGCTCGGAGCCTAGGCCTGCACTTCAAAGCTCAGACTGCGCAAAACATGTGACGCCACATGGGGCAACTGGAGGTCTGTGCCCCGACACGACAGCACAATGTTCTGACTGCAGCCTCGCCAAGCCTTGAACACGAAAACCAGCAAACCACACCAGCACACGCCTTCCGACCCTTGGGGAAGAGCCGATAACAACATATAGCATAACCAGGGGCCGGTTAGCTTATTCGGCTCTTGGCTGGGGCATAAGAAAACCCTCAGGCCTGAACATGTCGATTTGTCGGATGTCGATTTGGACCCAAAATGCTTGCATAACATGGTTTTCTTGCGATCGTTGAGCCAAAAATTTGTAGGGTTTTCAATGGGTATGTATATATATATATAGGGGCAAGCTGGAGTCTTCGAATGCAATGGGCTCGCGCTCCTCCCTTTTTTAACGCCACCTCATGCAGCACTGCAGCGTGTATTTAAACACGACCTGCTTCGACAAAAACGCAGGTTGGCAAGTCGAGGCGAGAAGCTTTACACGCCTGACGAAATCTTCGTTTAAAAAATTGTGAAGATATCGGCCATTGAGAGGCGACACATCGTAAGCCAGATGTTCTAGATAGTGCATCTTTGGCCGCTGCGGCCATCGGCACTGGCCTGCAGTGAGTGCCTCCTCAGACAATCTATTGTACCCGGCTCTGTAAATGAGGTAGTGGTAGCGAAAGCTTGCCACCGCCTCATCAGGCAGCACTCGGTCGTGCTGTAGCATGACCTTCTCCATCTCAGAAAGGGCCAAGCAAACACCAGCCCGCAGCCTTACAGATATGCATGTGCACCGAAACAGGTTGGGTTTATGGGTTTGTATACATGGAAAAGGAGCACGGGTTTCAGAAAAAATGCCCAACCCACAGCCCAGGAGCTGCAAGAAGAGATTGTCAGGGTTGTTTTGCAGCAGGTGCGACAACAACTGAGCGAGCCAGAAAATAACATATCTCGCAGCAGAAGCGTTCATGAACTTTTGCGACAGCGTGGTGTACTCTTTTGACATCGGGTGCAGAGTCCCGGAAGAAAAGACTTTGCGAAGAGCTCTGTCCACCACGCCTGCATGGGTCGGGCATGAAAAAAACGGTCTAGAACCCAAACCCTAAAACCGTAAACCCTATGGGATCTTTTAACCCCATCAGTTGCAATAAAGGTTGTGTGCCCCGGAAGAAGCAGAAACAGTTTTATATGCGCCTTGGGAGTCGCACCAGGCTTTGTAAGAGCCCCAAAGGTTCTCCAGTTCCGCTTCGCGGCCATGAGGTCCAGCACTATCAGTCAGATCGCAGAGGAGCGATACCAAAATATCCGGCGTGATGGCCAAGTGAATCAGATGCATGATGTCTGGAAAAATCCCTTGGGAACTGCAAGGTTTGCAGGGGCGAAAGGGAAAGACATGGCAGCAAACCATATTCTTCACCAATTAACCCGACATAACAACCATGAAGCCCGAGTGGCGCCATGGCTGGAATCCGGGTATCCGCGTCAAGGGTGACGACCCATGGATGGCCCGAAACTCGTCCGCATCTTTCACCAACCTCGTATGATGGGATCAACGGTGTTTAAACTTGTAGCGGGTTTTGAAGTCTACAGGGGGCTTATATAGGATGCCAAATTTCTTTAAGTCAGCCACCATATACATCAAACTCCGAAGCCTGAAGCCCTTAAAGCCTACACACGCCCGACCCTGAAGCCAGCAACCTCGAAGTTACAACCCCAACCCTATATAGGAGGGAAGCCTTTCCCAAGCGCAGCAGCCTGAACGTCCAAAGGTTTGGAACCCTTATATATAAACCCTAAACCCTGAACCCTAAACCCTAAACCTTACAAACCGTTTACAGGTTTGGAACCCTAAGCCCTTATAAGCCCTAAGCCCTAAACCCTAAACCCTAAGCCCTAAACCCTAAGCCCTAAACCCTAGAGCCCTATAAACCCTAAACCCTATTCCAAGGACCGAGGCTCGTGGTTCGATGCCTCGCTCCTGGGCCGAAGTTAGTATACAGCATCTCCACGTCGTTGGGGCAACCGTCCGGGTCACCATCCAGATAAATCCATTGAAGGGCCTGTCCAGGGATTAGGGTTTTCTGGGGCAAAATTTCAAAAGTTAGAAGGCAAAACCCACGAAGCATAATGCATCCAGCCCTGCAAAGCCCTGAGGTTCCTAAACAAATTGTTTGTTCCCACTTCGGCCTCGCACAAGAAGCACACCTGTTTTCTGGAATAATCGCCTCACACGGGTCCGAGGGCAAGTGTGGGTTTAGGACTACTTTGTGCAAGTCATTGTGTACCTTATTGGGCCACCACCCGTATATAACATTCTACAATGAAGACTATATTAGGGGCGACTTTAGAGTGCTGCTAGAAATGCTTTCAAAATGTCACTGTTGGGGCAGTGGGGGCAGTGCCTACTTTAATGTACACATCTATGAGGTTACAAACTCCTTGCTAAATCGAAGCAGGGGTCGCTGCAGAAAAAATATTTTCTTGACGAATTCCAAATCCGCTTGCACCCCATCGAACACTCCAGTCATCCCAGGGGCAGCCAACCACTGGCCTGCTTTGCGCCAGCGCTTTGGATGATGCTCGGCATCGAAAGGAACCCCCCAGGGATCGTGGGATGGATACTTCCCAACACCTCTTGTGTGCAGGGCTGTGCTTCCATTTATGCTCAGGTTTCGCGTTGTTATATTGCGAAGTTTGAAAAGCCTGAATACATTTGGGCAAGAGGCTCAGGGCTTCAAAAGACCACTGCAGCACAGTTAGTGTGGCCAGCCGGCTCGCATCATCGTGGTAGCACATATTTATGCAGGATAGCCTTGGGGCCCGGGAATCTGCACAAGGCCCACCAGCCCCCCCATCAAAAAAAAACGAAGCCCTCCACTCATCAACCGACCCGACCCCCGAATTCAAATACTTTCTGTTTGGCCCTAGCAGCAAGAATCTGGAGTCGAGAACTGCTGACGAACCCAGAGGCGCCAGCATCGTGAAGACTTCAAACTTTTGCCGTTCTTAGATGGTCGATGCGCAAATTATCTCCAACACAAACGCAGGGCACATTCTCAGAATTCATGGTTTGCTGCTAGTGAACTCGAGAACTCGGCGCCGTCCCCATAAAGACGCAAAGGGATGCAGAGGCCGCTGTCTTCAGCAACCTCATGCGACTTCGAGTTGCAAAATCGCAATGGGACACTCAAAGGCTGCACAGGATAATTAATTGCCGCTCAGTAACACCAAGCACTGGATGATTCGCCACCCAGGAGGCATCCTGTTCTGCCCAATAGGATCGGACCTTGGGAACAATGACCAAAAGGCCAAAACATCAGACAGGGTCAAAATCCCAATCGGTTCATGGCAAGTGGCTGCTTCCGCGTCGGGATACAGCAGCTCCCATCGTTCCGTCGCATAGAGGTTCGCGAAGATTTCATGCGGAAGCAACATGTGGTGAGTCACCTGTCGCGATGTCTGGCCACGAGCATCTGTATATACCTGGGACCACTGTGCTTAACAAAAGGCTGCACGTGCACGCAGCATGGGACCAACGCACTGCACAACAAGCGAAGATCTATAAACAAATCTCAAGTGGCCGCAGTGAGTTTCATCCTTGGAAACGCAGGTCTAAACAACGTATGCCGTCGGACCATGCCTGTTAAATATGCAGCAGGGGTTCTGAAATGATTGTGGCAGGGATTCCCGCCAGGGCTGGCGATTCACCCAGCGCTCAAGAACACGGTACGATTCCCCATACGCAGATTTTGCTTGATGATGCCAGCACGAAGCTAAGTCCAGCAGATCCGGCCTCGCTTGCATCATGCATCAGACCCTGTATAGAAAAATAAGTTGAACCCAATCAGAATGCCCCTATATACGAACCGTGGAAACCCTACAAGCCCATCAGGGTCCCTTTTAAACATTTTCCTTTAGGACTGAATTGATGCTTGAACCCCTGCCAAGGAGCGGAACCTGGGAATGAGGCAGGTGGTACACACGGTCCAGCACATCAGCCAGCTCTTTGAGGGGCACCTGCTGCATTATGGATCGAGGGTTGTCGGCCGATTTGTGTTTCCACACATATGGACTTTGTAAAGGGTTGCTTCGGAACAACACGGGTCGTGCCTGGCCGGTCGATAGGAGGCGTAGAGCATGGTTACAGGTCTCATCGATGAATCGGGGCAGCCATGGGGCTTGCTGTCCGCTAGAAGACATGCATCCCCAAAGTTCTTCTAAACGTGTCACGGTACGAAAGGTCCTTGGAGGCTTGGGTCCTGTTGGGTCCTGGGGGGGGGGGGGGGGGGGGGGGCTGGCTGGTGGGTCCATAAGCAGCCATGGAGTCCAAGGTATAAGCTCTGAACAGCTTTCGGGTTTAGGGCTTAGGGTGGGGTTTTGGGTTTCGGGTTTAGGGTTTATAAGGGTTTAAGGTTTGGGGTTTAGGGTTATAAGGTTTGTAGGGGTTTAGGCGTATAGGGTTTAGGGTTTTCGAGGCTTCGTAAAAACAGCCCAAGTCTCTGAATGTGAGTGTGCTTGTGCAGTGGGAACATGTTTTGGTTGGGGACTTTGCCCCTCCATGTATAGGTTACTTGGGCCTGGAGCCTCATGCGTGAGTGGACCTGAGGCATGCGAAGTCATCAAGTACGAGAAACTGCCAAGCTGCTGCCGCATCATGCACAAGGAGAGAATCGCAGCAGGAGTACATTGCATGAGGCGCAATGTTTCTCACCCGCCAGGCCCTCATGCTTCGAGGTATAAGCAGGTTCACGTGACACAGCATATCGTTTCAAATGGCAAAGCAGGTCTCTGAGCGCAAGCACATGTGCTACTGATGCTTTGGGATGTGTTCTTCAAACAGAAAGCCTGAACACATGTGAGCACTCACACTGCCTGCTGCCCCCCCCCCTCCCCTGCAGAAACCCCTCGATCGATCTATCGAATCTACCGCGTGCGCTTGGCAGGAGGCTCTTGGACATCCTCATCATCCACAGGCCATTCTTCTTCATGGGTTGCTTCTGTCCGCTCATCCTCCTCCTCCTGTTCCCCGTCCTCCTGCGGCTCCTGACCCTTCTGCTTGTTCTTTTCTTTCTCCTCCTTGCGTTTCTGGGCTGCCGCTCCTCGATCACTCAAGCTCCGGATTCTTACGTAAGCACGAGGTTGCATGGAATTTAAGGGTTGCATCCAGTCCAAGGGGCGGCGGAGGTGTCCAGACAAGATTCCCTCGGCTTCAGTGATGCTTGCAGTGTACTCCTGCAGGGACCATGCGTGTATACATACATATAGGGATGTCGACCATGCGCGAGCACATGCAAGCGTGTAGCAAAGTTTCTACAACCAGCCTTCAGAGCCGGCTCGCTTTGGCGAAGGATATCCATACACTCCGACATGGGCTTCTGGGCGAAGATGCTGTCCTTGATCCTTGGCCAAGCACAACGGGCTCGCGATAGGGTTGAGGGTTTAGGGTTTAGGGTTATATGGGTTTAGGGTTCAGGGTTTATAACTTTAGGGCTTAGGGTTTACGGCTTAGGGTTATAGGGCTTAATTAGGGTTTAGGGTTATAAGCCAAGGCATTAACAGGCTGGGTTTGGCATAAAGTTGCGGGCGATGGAAAAATATCCGAACTGCATAGCCTAGCGGCCACGTGTGGATTTTCGTGCATTCGGTCTGTATGACCCCCAGGTGCGCCACGGTTTTCTGCAGCATGCATGGTGTGCACTGCGAAGATTCTAAGCAAAGAAAGCCCTATAAATTCCGGACCGTTCCCCGCCTCCTGATTCTTAATTTCTGCTTTCGTGATGCCAGATGCCACTTCCACCGCTTTGTCCGCCATGTTGCGAACCCTTAGGTGGCAGAAGAACATCTTGCTCATTCGGGGTTTCGGGTATACACTGTTCCTTAAAACCCAACAGCGGAGTCCTAGAACTCGACGAGCTAGGGGGCCCGTTAAAGTCCTTCTGGAAGTCCCTCCTCTCCTTCTCTTCTGGGCTGATTTCCTGCTCGGTTTTCTCAAAACTCTAGGAAGCCAAAAGGTTCAGTTAAGCAAACTCAATGGGCAGTATGGGGGAAGCGCCTTCTTTGCTTTTGCCACCTTCTTTGGCTCTGCAAGGCCAGGCTTCGCCATTGCAGCTACCTTCCCCTCGATCACTTCAGCGACCCCAAGCCTTTCTGCTTTGTTCCTCGAGACAGCAGCAGAGGCTGTCGTCTTGTTCCCGACTCGGGTCAGGTTGCCACCTTCGAGTGCCATTTGGGGTTTGGGGCTCCTGGTTATTGAGGTTCGGAATCATATTGGCAGATTGAGGCAGCAGGCTTGATATGTCCACGCAGTTGAAGACTTTGTAAATGCGCCAGGCTTCACTCTTGCTTTGTGGATGCTCCTTTCCCTTTTGGTCTGCGGCAGGTGTCGCGTTCAGATGGCATGGGGGGGGGGGGGGGGGGGGGAAGCTGTTGCAGCATGCAGTCGGGGAACAAGATATGCAGGTCAGTCTGAGGAAAGCACTTGCCACTATGTCCGCCACAAACTCCTTGCCCCCAGGTAGTTTCTCATATTTCTCCTTGATCTCACACAGGGGGAGTTCCACGTAACGCTCTTTGGTCTCGTTCTGGGCGATCCTTATTTGCATGCGAATGGAAACATGAACGCTCGGTTCTCATGCAATGCACAAATTTCGAAGCCAGGGAGCTCCTCGTAATACGCATCCACCGTGATATCTGCCATATCCCGGTCCAGGAGGAATGATTTGAGGAACTGGAACCTTAAGTCGCGGGTTGTTCACGACCCCCCCCCCCCCCCCCCAAACCATCATTGTGTGTGTGTGAGCAACACATTCGGCCCCAGGCTTGTCCATGGCGCTAGTTGCCGCTTGCCACTGCTGCACCAGGCCCTTTTTGAGACCTGTTGCACACTCATGGTTGTAAAGCCTCAAGTAGATACATACCACACAGCATGTACAGATATAGCGAACACGCAGGCCTGTCGGGTTGTTCATACGTCTTCGGAGGCCCTCGTTGAGGCGCTTTCGCTCCTTGAGTTCGATGTCTTCTGGCCCACTAAGAGCCTCAGGGTTCATAAGCCATTTGCGAAAGCCAAACTCCTCACGATGCAATAATCCCTAACGTACGCGAAACCCATTCCGTATGTGCAGGGACGGTGCTTCGATAGCAGCTTTCTCCTCTGGGCTGAGCCTTCGCACCTGGGCAGGCGGGCCATGGGGTTTGGGTGTTGTAGGGGTCAAGCTGGGGTTCGTTTATATCCGGGGTCCTTTATACCTGCAGCTGGGCTGCATCGTTGGGGCTGCCGTTGAAGGTGAAGCCCTTTGCAAGGGGTGCCAGTTCCAGAGGCCCAGAACCATCACTCATCGTTGAAAGCCCAGTGTCGCTCCGCACAAAGGGCCTCATCCAGAACAACACTATTGCTTGCAAATCTATTTTGGTATCCGGCCAAAGCCAAAGCTGTTATAACTTGGGTGGCTGCTTGTGGGTCGAAGCATGCGACGGCGAGGGGGTAGTAGTAACTCCTGCGTGTATGCTGGAGTGCAACGCCACGAGCACGCGAGATGCGGTTTAGGCTGTGTAGAGTTTATGTATATACAGGGCTTATATATAGGGTTTAGGGTTATATGGGGCTTAAAGGGTTTGGGGTTTATAGGGTTATACAGGGTTCTATATGGGGTTTGAAGGTTTATATAGGGTTTAGGATTTAGAGTCCGTAGAAAAAAATGGTCAGCCCCAGCATGTCCTGAGCTAGGCGATGAGGTCGAGGTGTTGGAGCCGTAGGATGTTCTGCGTGTCGGGCCCTTTCCTGATGGTGCAGCGTCTCCATCAGGTGCCGGTCTTTTCCTGCTGTCTGGGGCTGGGCTTGCAGCGCCTGGCAGTGCAGCTTGGCTGAATGCTGGGGAGTTCATGTGTTTTCCTTTGCCTTTCGTTGCTGCAATTGGGGTTTGGCAAAGGGTTTCATTGGGGGTCGGCGGTGGGGTGGCCTTCCCGTTTCCCTTGCTTCGTGGTGGGGTGCAGAGTGCCTCAACCCCTTTGCAATCCTGAATGGCTTCGTCCACGGCTTGCTGCATATCGTCCAACCGGCCTATGGCTGCATTGAGGCCCTGCTGCTTGGCACGCAACGCAAACATCTCCCCGCCCAGCTTTGATCGATCCACTTCTGCTGTTGGCTTGGGCGTGGCAGCAGCAGCCGGCTTCCCCTTTCCTATCTTTCCCTTTCCTCCTCCATTCCCTTTGCTGTTGGTGGTGTCGGTGGTGGCAGCAGCTGGCTTCCCCTTTCCGGGCTTTCCTTTGCCTTTAGTGGTGTCTGTCAGCTCGACAGGGCTTGGCGTTGTGGCAGCAGCTGGCTTTCCCTTTCCTGGTCCTTTGCCTTTGGTGGCCTCATCGGGGTCGATGGACCTTGGTGTCGTGGCAGCAGGTGGCTTCCCCTTGCCTGGCCCCTTTCCTTTGGTGGTGTCTGTGGGCTCGACAGGGCTTGGCGTTGTGGCAGCAGCTGGCTTCCCCTTCCCTGGTCCTTTGCCTTTGGTGGCCTCATCGGGGTCGACGGGCCTTGGCGTCGTGGCAGCAGGTGGCTTCCCCTTTCCTTTGGTGGTGTCTGTGGGCTCGACAGGGCTTGGCGTCGTGGCAGCAGCTGGCTTCCCCTTCCCTGGTCCTTTGCCTTTGGTGGCCTCATCGGGGTCGACGGGCCTTGGCGTCGTGGCAGCAGGTGGCTTCCCCTTTCCTTTGGTGGTGTCTGTGGGCTCGACAGGGCTTGGCGTTGTGGCAGCAGCTGGCTTCCCCTTCCCTGGTCCTTTGCCTTTGGTGGCCTCATCGGGGTCGACGGGCCTTGGCGTCGTGGCAGCAGGTGGCTTCCCCTTTCCTTTGGTGGTGTCTGTGGGCTCGACAGGGCTTGGCGTTGTGGCAGCAGCTGGCTTCCCCTTCCCTGGTCCTTTGCCTTTGGTGGCCTCATCGGCGTCGACGGGCCTTGGTGTCGTGGCAGCAGGTGGCTTCCCCTTTCCTAGCCCCTTTCCTTTGGTGGTGTCTGTGGGCTCGACAGGGCTTGGCGTTGTGGCAGCAGCTGGCTTTCCCTTTCCTGGTCCTTTGCCTTTGGTGGCCTCATCGGGGTCGACGGGCCTTGGTGTCGTGGCAGCAGGTGGCTTCCCCTTTCCTTTGGTGGTGTCTGTGGGCTCGACAGGGCTTGGCGTTGTGGCAGCAGCTGGCTTCCCCTTCCCTGGTCCTTTGCCTTTGGTGGCCTCATCGGGGTCGACGGGCCTTGGCGTCGTGGCAGCAGGTGGCTTCCCCTTTCCTTTGGTGGTGTCTGTGGGCTCGACAGGGCTTGGCGTCGTGGCAGCAGCTGGCTTCCCCTTATTTCCTGTCTTTCCTTTACTTTTGGCAATCTCATTGGGTCTTGGTGTCGTGGCGGCAGCTGGCTTCCCCTTTCCTTGTTCACCCTTCCCTTTGGTGGAATCCTTGGTGTCGATGGGGGGTGCGCATGGCCCTTTCTTTCCTTGCCCTTTGTTGGGAGCAGTGCCCGGCTGCAACGGCTGATGGGTGGGAGGTGCAACCGCAGCTGTGCGATCCTTTCCTTCCGCCCCAACTTTCTCGCTTGCAGGCTCTGCAGGTTCTTCTGGATCATCGACCTGAGTGTCCTCCCAATCAGGACCCCCATGTGTGAGAGCACGTCCCCCCGCTGGGGAAGCCATGCTCTTGGCCCACTCGACCACAGAAGCCTCCTTTCCAGCTGCACCAGGGCCTCCTACAAAAACATAACTTCGAGGGGCGACTTCCACATAAGTCGGGCTGCCATGTTTGCACTCAACTGCGTTCCCGCTGCCTGCTGCAGCAGCACGAGGGGGCATCTTGGAGGCACCTTTCTTGCCCTTGCCATTTCTGGGAGGGCCCATGGTTCCTAACAATCGGGCCTCGATCCACGCACGGCTGTCCCTGGGGGTACACGCACATACACGGTATTCGGCTTTATAATAAGGCCGACTACACGGGGATACACGCAGATACACGGTCCTGTGTTTTGTTGCTCATTCCATGATTCGTGCGGAAACTCAAGCGCTGCGCACATGATAGCACGCAACATCTCGTGCTATGGTTCCACAGCCCCAACTGCACATCAACAGCTGTTGGCATTTCAGCACAACAGGCAAGAAGCTGGGTGACCTTGATCTATTATATAGTGGTTCGCTCTTAACAGTCAACATCGGGCCAACCAGCACATGTGCAACCCAAAAGCTAATCGACAGCCGACAGGTGCAGCCGACCCCAGCTCGAAACTGCACACTCGAGGGTCGGGGTTTCATTGCGCTCTGCCGATCACATCTTCTAACCCTGAGTCTGAATCCGAGGCCTCACCATCATCTTCAAACAGGATGTCTTCTTCGCGGCAGCGTTGGGCTGCGGCTTCCCGAAGCTTGGGCGACTCAAGGTGTGTCTGCAGGAGCTGCGCGAACTTGGGTCCAAATTTCTTGTCGTGTCAGTCTGCACATGCATGATGTATAGTTCTAAGTCGTCGAGCAGCTGTACAAGCTAGACACACCGTGCGTGTAAATGCCGGCCATTGAATGCAAGCAGGTTGCGTGCATCCCTAGCCCAGCCGGATATGCTTCTGTAGCACGTAGGTCTTTGCCACCGACCTGGGTATAGCTACTCTGCTAGTGGGTTCCTGTTTTAACCCTATTCCCTGCAGATCTAAACCCGAATCCTTGCCTGCCTTTGTGCGAGTGGGAGCAGTGAAGGCCTACCAATAAAGCCTGAACCCTATAAACCCTACAAACCCTAATCCCTTTAAGCCTATATAACCTCTTTGAGCTCCATTATGAACCCTAAGCCCTAAACCGCTTATAAAATCTAAACCCTATATTGTAGATCCGGGGGCCCCATAAACACTAAAGCCTACAAACAATCGATCCTTGCAGCGGTAGTGTGGAACTCACATCCAAGGCACTGCCCGACGGCGTCCTTGGGCATCCGTGTAGTACTTCGTGACCTCCATCTGCAAGAAGCTTTGGATCCTTTGGAGTTGTGCCCTGGCAGAGCATCAATCAACTACATACTAGCTAAATCTTGCAAGGCCCAAAAGCTCTAGCCCGATACACAGATGGTCCTTTGTCACCAGGGGTTTTGGTCAAGCAACTAGACACCAGCATTGGAGAGTAGATGGGTTGTTTTGGTTGATGGGGTGGTTTATGGGGGTTGGGCGGTTGGGCTCTTATATAGGCTGGGTTCGACACAATCCCAAAGATCCCCTTCCCCAACTCAACCGAACATGTGCCTTCTTGGCGTGGTTAGCTGCTGGTAGAGCTGTCTCATGAACGGGGCTGTTCCAACCAGGGTCACCTTAAAGGCAAGAAGTTCACGCAGCTGTTAGCAACAACACTCAGTTCTTTGAGAATTTCTCACGCATGCAGTGGTCTCGTACAAAGCAGGCCACACACTTCCTCGTAGGTGCACCCAGCGCTCCTAGGCATACGTTGATCTGCGTGGCCTTGTGCTTCTTCAGCCTTTCCTTGTATGTTGCATGCTTCGCATGCGAAAACACAGCACGCAGGGAATTTGGGGTTTGTGTGTCGGGCGTTAGGGTTTACAGGGTTGGGTTGGGTTTGTAGGGTCTGGGGTCTATATAGGGTTTGCTAGGGTGTCGGCAGCATCCACAGTTGACAAAGGGGCCTTTATCGCAGGGTGCTGGAAGACGAAGGAGTTCACCGGATTCTCGAGTATATAGTGTTGACCGCATTTATGATGAAACTCGAGCCTGCAGCACCGCACTTCGATTCAGGAGTGGCGACGTGGCAGCGTACTGGCTCTGCAGGCTTCCACGTTCGATCCGCAATGCAACCAAGCTGCAAATAGCTGATCCGACGAGCCATGCGATTGGCAGCTTTCACTTTGGTGGACGATCCTCCTGCGGCGAGGGAACACTACAAGGTATGTAAGCGTGCAGGTTCGAGCTACAAACTTGTAGGGGAATTGCAGGAGACCATCGGGCCTTTCACATTGAACCGTC